GGGCTTGTTTCCTGTGTAATCTGGGTGCTCCCAGGGACGCGACAAGTGGTTTTTAATTTTTAATAGAAAGTGTTCTGTGCAGTGCTGGCAGCAGCAGGGGGTGGTACTCATATTTTTTATAAATGTTTGAGAAACTAAATGTGAGCCTGGGGTATCTCCAGGCCCAGCAGGGTAGCCAAGGAGGCAGGGAAGAAGCAAAATGATCATAATTACAAACATCTTCATAATAATGATGCCTGGTCACCTCATTTGAGAATTCTACTCTTTTCCAAAATACTTCATCACTTCCATCTCATAAAAGGGGTCTCCCACACCCAGAGAGCAGCTGGAATAAAGTGTTCCCTCCATTTCACAGGAGGAAGACTGAGGGCCAGGTCAGTTTGGCTGGTTTTCCTGCAGCTGCCCACAGCACTAAGGCCAGGGCTGGAGTGAGGATATATGGATCTCCACCCTCCTTGGGCTTCACTGCAGGCACTGGGGAGAGCTGGAGCCTCAGTGTGCCTCACAGATAGCCAGGACATAGGTTCCACTCAGATACAGCAAGATGAAGAACAGTTAAGCCCCCTCCCTCTAATGCTGGCACTCAGGTTTCCTATTCAGGGCCAAGGACACGAACCAGGGAAAGAGTAGACTCCTGTCAAACACTCACTAAACCCAGCCTCTTAAATCCATCATCTCTAATCCACATCTCAGAGATGCAGGCTGGTTCTCTAAGAGTGCAGGTGAAGAAATAGCTAGATGGAGGAGAAATAGCTAGCAGAGTTGGTGTGGATATGGCAGAGTTCAGACCTCAAGCCTCGGATTCCAAGCCCCCCATCCTCCTTGGACATGTGAGGGGCGTCTCTCTCAGTGTCTACCTTTCCACACCGGCTTCATATGACTTGGTGGCATGAACCACACTTGCTGCTCCCCCCTGGTGCCAGCCTCAGCACAGGCTCAGAGGGTCCAGGAGCATGTTGGCTATCTAAACAGACCTGAGTTTTATTCTTCCCCTTACTTACTAGTCACGTAACCTTGGAAATTCATTGAATCCCTTCATGACTCAGTGTCCTCACAAGTTCAATAACAGGTTGTGTCTAGGGCATCTGCAATGCAGGCAGGGGAGACTTTAGGGTCACTCTGAAGCTTGCAAAACTGCCCTTGCCTGGCCTGCACCCCAAGAGTCCTATTTAACTGGCCCAAAATTGGGCTCTGCGTCAGTTTTATTTTAAAGCTCCCAGTAGACTCTAATGCTCAGGCAGGTTGAGAACCATTGGGTTTTGTGTCCTCCAAGGACCAGCGATTCCATATTTAACAATTCCACCGGGCTCCCTGAGCCCCAATGGCCGGTTTACCCAAGAATGTTAGGCGGCCTTTTCTTAACCGCCAGAGGGGCTGGTGCAGGACCATGGACAGCGAATCACATTCCACCCTAGTCTAGCCCTGTTCTGTACTGTGAAGGGAGCCTCTGCCTCTAAATCCAACTCGTGCCTTTTCCCTCCTGACTCCTCCTTTTCCAAAAAATTGATCGATCGATCGATCAATTGATTGATTGATTTCATACAGGGTCTCACTACACTGCTCAGACTCATGATCCTCCTGTCTCAGCCTCCCCAGCACTGGGATTACAGGTGTGCGCCACCATGCACCGCACTCCCCGGACTCCAAGGCTGGCCCAGAATGCATAGTGGGGATCGAACACAGATCCTTGCGCTTGCCAGGCAAGCGCTTAGACCATCAAGCTATCTCCCCAGCCCTCCTTTTCCTTTCTTAAGTTTTCACTCTCTCATTCTCACATCTTCTTTGACTCCCATCAACTCCCTCCTCCTATCTGCAAGGCAGGCTACATGTGTTTGGACATTGAATCCTCCTGGATTTGAATTCTGTCTCCTCCACTTCCTTCCTTCCTTGCCAGGTGAACTTACTCAAGCACTGCCTTCCGTGCTGGACCTCAAAGTGTATTTAAATTCTCACAACAAGCCCAAGAATTTGGTAGACCTATTACTGTTTCATAAATGAGGGGATTGCCTCAGCCTCTGCCTCCTCATCTGTGAAGTGGAAATCTCAGCAGAGTGTGTTGCAAGGTTCTATTGTGTAAGCTGCATGAGACGATGCAAGTAGAGTGTACATCATGGTATCTAGAACAAAGTAATTATTCGATAAACATAATCCCTCATTATCATTGTTATTGAATAATACATAACCCTGGGCTTCAGCGCATGAGAAGCACGTATTGATTTTCAGAAATTTTGCAGGCCAGGTCTACCACATTGGTGGCTTGAAACTGGGCCACGATGGAAGTATTTACACCACAGACATCAGCAGACCTAGGAAGTGGGGCGTCCCTCCACACTCCATCTCCACCACAGAGTTGGTATGAGGCCTGAAGGAGAGAATGGACGTGACAGCAAGTGTAAAATGAACTGCTGAGCCTCATGAATTTGCGGGGGGAAGGCTGAAGGTCTGTACAGCAGCCACAAGCCTGGCACCCCTCAATGTGCCAACACTGGGGAGCTGCTGACGGGTGCGGAAGGTGGGAGGGCTGTGTGGCTGGCTTAAGGCGGCCATTCCTGTGGGGCTTGAGGGCAGAGTGGTGAATCACTGACCCTTCACTGTCCCCACGTGTCGGCATTAACTGTAATGGCTGCAATAAAGAATCCCGGATTGAGGAAATGATTCCATCATCCCCGTGGGAGTCCCTGGGATGCAGTCAGGGAGAGAGAC